GGGGGGGGGGGGGCACCGCGGTGGGTGAGTCAATTGGACGTTCAACTCTTATCTCATCTCAGCTTTTTGCACGAGATAACCATCTCACCCACCCCGGAGCCCCTCCCCTTCTTAAAAATAGGGTTTTATTGGCTCAGAAGAAGAGTATTCATAATGTGCAAGCATATCAACATGTGTCAAGAGTTAGTTTGTTCTAAATCGTGAAACACATCAGTAAGACCTCACCATTCCTTCCCAGACTCAGGCCCACTACTATCTCGCTGGATAGGCGCCAAACGAGAAAGGGTGCCGCGCCGCCGCGTGGCACCCCCCAACCCACTTAGCACCCATATCTGCCCGTCACATATTTAACGCGTGGAAAAGGGGCTCCAGGCAAGGGCATGGGGCTGTTGACGGTCAGCTAGGGAACACGTGGTACAATTCTGAAACTGAGAATGGTGAGCAAACTATGCTGCGCTCCAATGCTGGAGAAGTGGAGGTACAGAACCAGAACCGTTACGTTGCCGCACGCATGCAGCGGAAGAGGCCCTGGCCACTTCTATAGTCCGCCGACCGGCCCGCGAGCGAGCGCGCCGACCGGGCGGACTACTCGGACTGCGGAATCGATCAAGATTCAGTTGTAAACAAGTGCCAAGTACCGCCCCCGGCCGGCGCACTTGCGCGCTTGCTCGCTCGCGGGCCGGCCGCCGGATTATGAAAGCAGCCCTTTGATGATTTCCGCTCGGTAATACTCGTCCGTTTTCCAAGGGTGGCGGTCGTTTGGGGCGTCCCTCCCATCGCGCCGCTCATTCAACGCGGTTTGCGAGCAGGATAACTCGCCCGGGTAATCGAGCAACCCTCTGCCCATCTAGCTAATAGAGGTCCGATCGGTCAAGGTGAAATTATCAAAATTAAGCTCCTTTCATACTGGGATTTTTACAATTCAATCAATGAAAATAATACGATTAAAAAAATGACGGCAATGGATTTCTGAAGTGAACAAGAACCTGCTCTGAGTGGGATCTACAAAACGAAAGACAAATGACACTTCTTGATCGTCTATGTACAGCAAGGAATCAAATGAGTTCTTAAGTACTTTGCGAGAATAGCAGTCGTTCAGCGTCAATCACAACTCCATAGGCTCGATCGATAAGTTCATTTTGGAATTTGACCCTTCTGACTTCATCCTTTTCGAGATCCTCACACATATCGTGATAGATAGAGAGGCCAAATAATGCGAAGTTACAGGCGTACAGGAAGATTCGATCATATGCCTCATACACCTATAAAATTTTGTTGTAGCTGTGTCATGAACAGAAGTTGAAGATATTTACCTTGTTCAAGGTAAACGGTGGTTTTCCATTGGACAAACGTGTAAGGGTGTCATGATAACGCTTTAGAAACCTGAAAAGTGCAGATTCATCATCACTCGGCGATCAGCTGATTGTGTGTGGGTCCTAGAACGAATAGTTGCAATCTGTATTGCCTCGACACTCGTCTGACGTGACCTAGATCGAGAGGCGGGAAAGCGAATCGAGACAGCAACAGGGCTCCCGCTATGCCTTAACCGTCGAGTTTTAGGCGGGAGAGGGTCCTTTCCAATACCCATGGGGGCCATTGAGTATTCCTAGGGGAAGAACTCAGTAACCATTTCTATCGTGAACCGTGCTTTTAAAGGCACGAAAAAATGGTTTCGGAGATCTGCACATGGTTTGAATTCGACGCCCCCTCTGATACCATTTGTGCAGGAATGAGGTCGGAAAACGGTCTGGATAGGGCACAATAAGGACAGGAACAGTAGGGGACGGGAGGCACATTCGCATTGGAGCGATGTGTCTGCTTGGGTGTGTTGTCTGCTATTGCAGACATTGCGTCGCCTTCGTGCACTCGCCCGAACACTCCCTTAACCGCCGTTCTTCCAATGTTAAACTCGTCCAACCTCCCTTTCCAGCTCTTTTTTGACCCTTTCTATTTCTTTTTGATCATCGTTTTTTGCGCTTTTTTCGTTGTTATCGCTTTATTCTAGAGTAGTTCTACGAATTCTCGTCAAAAAGGGTACCCCAAATTTATCATAAACGGTGCCTTCAAGTAAGGGCACCGTAGGATTGCACTACTTGTACATTCCCGAAGACGAGGACTTACATGCGAGATTTTCAATGACGGATACACATGAATGGTTTTTTAATCACGGCTTTTACTGTTTAGTAATATCTTGTAGCCGTTTTGGATCAAACAATAGTGACCAAGTAAGTTCTATCCTCAAAAATTCAATTCCATTACCATGTTGGTAAACATGAAAAAGATGACGAGATGCTTTCTTGAGAACATGGGATCATTTTAACCCTTTACATCCAGTGCTCCAGCAATCTCAATAATCTGACGAAGTTGTTCAAAAGTCCAAAGGGATTCATTGGGTTAGATAGAAGAAAACATTTTCTACCTAATGGAAAAAGAAAGGCACTAAGGAGGGTTCCTAGGGAAAAACGAAAACTGAAAAGTACTGGCATGGAAAACACACACATTATGATTACTACGGACTCACTTTTGCAAATTTGTAAAAAAAAAGAACAACCCACTACCTTTCAGTCATACTACAGCGATCGTGACGTGACAATGAAATAATCAGAACTCGAACAATATCCTCAGCGAAGTTGCCAGTATGCAGCAATTGGAAGTCGATGATTGCGACAAGCTGAATGAAAAATCTATGAATCATCGAGAGAACATGTGACGGAGAAGTTAGGCTTTTCAAGAATTACAATGAGGTCTCTAAATACATTGTGGCTCAATAAAGTCCCGCAATTCTACAGTACAACAGAATCTGATATTCATACTCCACATAAGCTCTTCTTTGCAATGGCTACATGATATAATATAATCAAGAAGGATCCCTTAGAGACCATGGTGACGGCGGAATATGCCATAGATAAAAAAAGTGGCGACAATTCAAAACAAGGCTAAACCCTGTTACTAAGAGATATTGACGCTAAGAAATGGTATTCGGCTTTTGTGTTTCTGAATGAAAATATTTTGTATTATGGGTTACCCCACTGACTAAGCATCGCAAAGTCCGCCAACCACAGGGTTTCATGACTGGCTCATTACTCAAAGAGAGGGCAGCACTTACTACAGCACCGAACCAAATATCGCAGACAACTCGTACATACTACTCGGTTGAGCATTGCTGTCATAGCAAAGTCCACCGAATTAAGACGTGTTGTCTGCAGTTCAAAGGTACAGTTTACAATAAAAATGGTTTCTGAGATTCTCCCACAGGAAGGATTTGAGGCCCCCGCGTATACCATATCTGGCACTAAAAGGTCGTTAGGGAGTAATAATGGTTCAAAGATTGGCTCGTGTGTATCTTCGGGCGAGTTTCACCGGCATTGTAGAGGCTGCAGCAATCGCAAAGGAACCCATGTAGGAAGTTTAAACAACTTGTCATGTCTCATAGCGACAGTGAGAGACAGTTCTGTACAGTTCTGGTTTGATGTGGCTAGCTCTTTGTGCAATTGCAATAACTGAAATCTTGTCCGAGTACCTCTTCCATGTTGTTTCCATCATGGCAATCTCGTCCAACCTATATTTTCCCTACTTCTAATGAGAACTATTCTTCGCAAAAACAGCGAACTTTCTCGCTTTCTTCACTACTGATGAACTATTCCCAATCTATACTTCCGCTTTTCGAATAAAAAAGGTACCTCAAAATTATCGTGAACTGTGCCTTTAAGTTTTACAATACCCTTTTCCCCCCGCTGGTATGGCCGCGATAGTTGAAATATAATTGAAGAGGATGTGCAATACAAAGTTACTACTTAATTATCGATTTGGGTCACAGAGATGATAATACGGAAAGGACTAGACTGTTTTATTTTCACCACATTTCTATATTAATTCACCTACCTCATTCGTGTTTGCTGATTTTGAGCTCCATAATATATTGGAGGGGTTCAAATCGAAGTGCACTAAAACCGGAGGCACATCTGAAGTTTATTTATTCACTTACTTATATATTTATTTATTTATTCAGTCAAGTACACTCAAGGGTGTGCTAGACGATACAAAAATAGAAACTCTGTGGCAAAAGTGTCAACAACTTAAAAAAAAAAACAAAAAAGTTTGCAGAAAACTGCTCTCGCAGATTACAGTAGTGAACCCTTAAAAAGTAGCTAGCTTGTCTTCTTTTCCGGGGGGATAAATTGAAAATAAGACACTGTTAGATCGCTGTAATACAAAATTTTATGAAAAAAGAAAAAACAGAGCCAAAAAAAATCAAAACATACCAAGTTCTTTGTAGGAGTAGTGAGCGTTGTATCCTGCCTCAACACTGAAATGTTCCTCCTTTGCTCTTATTCTCCCAGCAAACTTTTCGGGACAAATACTTTCAAATTTCAGGGCAGTCTCAAACTGAAAAAGTAAACTTTACTCCATCTCTAACTTTACTTAACAAAAAAAAGTTTTACAACCTGGCGCTTCGAGTGGAATGATATGCTATATGTTATTAAAACTTTGTATTAGGATGCAATATTTACTCTTTCATTAATTACCCGAAAACAAACCTGGAGATCTTGGAATTCTGGTTCAATTTCCGCAACTCGATTGAACTCGGTCACCCATGACTGATCTTTTTTTGATATAAAATGGTAATGAAAACCAGCCAAAGCATCCATGAGCCTTTCCACCTTAACTAAGTAATTTTAGGCCATTATAAGTCTGTCCTTGAAAAAAAAACGTTAAAAACTTACTAACACTAAAGTACTTACTAATACTGACTTAAAAGGCACAGTTCAAGATAATTTTGAGTTACCCATTTTTGGTCGAAAAGAGGGAGTACAGATTGGGAATAGTTCATTTGTAGTGAAGGAAGCGAGAAAATCCTCTGATTTGAGAGAAATATGGTCCCTCAAAAGTAGGGAAAATAGAGGTTGGACGAGATTGCCATAACGGAAATAACATGGAAAGGGTATTCGGACGAGATTTCAGTTACTGCAATCGCGCAGAGCTGACTACATCAAGCCAGAACTGTACAGAACTGTCTTTCATTGTCGCTATGGGTCACGACAAGTTGTTTGATCTTCCTACATAGGTCCCTTGTGGTCGGTGCAGCCTCTGAAATGCCGGTGAATCTCGTCCGAATGTACACACGGGCCAATCTTTTAGCCTTTACAACTCCCTACCTAGGCCGTTTTCCGTCCTAATAGTGCCAGATATGGTGTACGCGGGGGCCTCAAATTCATACTGCGGGGGAATCTCAGAAACCATTTTTATCGTGCCTTTGGAGTAATCATAAAGTCTATGGAGAAGAGCATTCTAGAATCAACTGAAGGATGTTGCGAAATTGCGAAAGGACTGTACCTGCTCGTATGAGAATCCCGGAATTGAGTCCATTGCCTTCACACGTTCACTCAAATCTTCCATAGCAATGATACCGGTTCCCGGCTCAATGACTGTTTCGGCCGCATAAAACTTCGGAAACGGAAAATGTGGTATTGAGTCGTTCCCATACCGTTCATACCACAATACTTCATACTGAAACTACTAGATTTTCATTCTCTCAAAGTTTTCAGTCTGTTAGAACCTCACTACAGCAACAACTGACCAGTAAGTGTGGAACTAGTTACTTACACACAACACAAATCCAATTAACAACATGCACTACCTGAGTTAGTTTGAGTAAGGCTGCAGCGTCACTTTCATCAGAATAGTTTTCACTTTTGTCGGTACCTTTCACATTATCAGAAATATGAGGAATCTATAAAACAGTTAAATACACTGAATTAAGAAAACTTCAGCAAATACAGTAATAAATTTGAACATAAAGTATTTTATCGAAGGACTTCATCACGAATGTACCCCTTTCGTTAGTTTTCCGTATTTCAGAGTCCAGAGCCTTTAAAGAGTCACAGTCAAGTCACGGTTTTAGGTCTCGAAACGACGTGATTTGTACAGAATGCTTTTAAGTTTCAGTTCACAAAGTGGTAAACAGAGAAAAAAAAGATAAGGAGACCCTGATAGCGCAGTACGATATCTTAGGCGCCAATGTCAATATACCAGGTTCTGATTCTTCTGACTAGGAAACCTACAATACCATTTCGAACAAAAATCAGTCAAAAATGTTCCCTTTGAAGTAGCTATGTAGGAGTACTTCTCTTGATGCACTGAATGACATGAGATATGTATGGTTCAAGCCATGAAACTGGCACTATGATCGAAGCTCTTCGTAGTGGGATTGGAAATGTAGCGCTTGCAGATCATTAACCAGTAACTTTATGAGGGTAAACGCCTTTGATAGATCTACAGCTGATGAAGTTCCAAAGAATCGCTGACCTAAAACTATTGAGGAGTTGCACAAGAGCTCGAATTGTGCAAGAACTACGGTATAAGAAGCATACCGTAACGGCGAAAAACTTTGGGAAGACATAAATGTTACAGTAAACGGTGATATGAAGATTTAATAAATGGAACCAGTAGCCTAAAATTAATCATCGTCAAATGACTAAAAAATAGAAGAGGATAAGTTTTTTATCACTCGAAGGCTCTCGACAACATCCATTCCTCCCACCCATCCCCTTCAGTCACCTAAGGTTAGGAGCGTGGTAGCGCTTTAACTGTGCTGCACCATTCCCAGTCCCAGAAAAAAAATAAAAGAAAAAACTTTAAACGAGAATTATATGTGTATAAGAGGTCTTTCTAGAAGATTAGCAATATCGATTATGCCAAATGAAATTCATTGCCCTAGGTGTAAGCTTGAACAAAACTCACCTTGATGAAAACAGATCTGGGATACTTTGCCGAAAGCTTATCGTCCTTCCAGTGGAGAAAAACACGAGCGATTTTCGACCAGAAACTCTTCTTATTTGATAGAAAAGCTAATGAATAGCTGACGGAATGTTCAAAGTCTTCCACATCAGGAAAGCACTTCCGAATAAGCGCATCCACACGAGCCTTCTCATCTATTGTCATAACCATTCCGTTTTCCATTTTAGAAATCAACTAGAGTGAGAGTTAAGCAGGTGTATAGTTTCTCAGGGCCGGACCACACAAATTCTGAAAGCGATCAATCAATCAAAGCCAAATTACGGTTTGAAGATCATGATCGACTTCATAAGCAATCAATAAATAAATTAGTGGAGAGCTGAAGCAGGTTCGCTTGCTACCAGCATTGGGCACCTACGTGCTAATGTTTTGTTTACCCTTTCTACCCAAAACAAGGACGTGGAACTGAAAACAGCCCTATGTATATTCAAAACTGAGTCCCGTATGTAATTCATGTAGCGTGGTGAGCTCGGGAAAATACAGGCAAAGAAACGGTAGCGTACTTCTGGACTACATAACTATCAGACAGTCAAGACTGAAGACGATAACAGGGTCCCTACCGTGCCTATCCAGGATGCCTGCTTTCCCTTGTAAGGGACAGTGAATTTTCTCGAGTTCATTCTATTTGTACGTCCTTCCTCTATAGTTGGCAACAATTTCGGCGACGCTAGGCATTATAAGAGGGGCCCTTGCGATCATCAACTACACATGATGATTCTGCTTCCTTGTAGGCACAGTGGAGTATGTTTCAAAAACAAAAAGGAAAAACCTCGTAGGTGCTTTGCTTCAGAGAAGGCGATTGTAAGACTAATAGTGAAATGCTGTAGTATGCACAAGTTGGCTCAATTTAATAATTTACTGTTAGTGATACAAGTAGGGGACCTAATTTCCATCGAACTTTATCCAGCGAAAATTGAAAATTTGACACAGTGAACTGATATTTTCATAAAATCTGAACATTACAGGCCGTTTTGATTTGGTTCCGCGTCCATGAATACAGCCCTGTCAGCTGATGCCTCACTGCCATGAGTTCTGTTCCAGAGCTTTCTAGTTCAAAATCGGTACTCGAAAAGACTCATCAAAGACTTTCTCGTGAGGTGTTTATGACCTTGCACAAAAAAAGTCCTCTGTTTCTTACTGGTGGTCAACCTCGAACAGGGAAAGAGCCTTTTCCAGAAGAATTTGAAGGCTTACCACTTACTCAAGGGATAGGGATATCGCCAAGAAGTAGTGCCGTGCTGAGCCACGGGAAATGTTTACGGCAACAATTGACTCTACTCTGTAGCGATGAGTAAATAAGTATGAAGGGAACATTTCCGTCACCAACTTTACCCGGTCATAGTTAGGGTAGTTTATTACAGCAAAGCCTGAAAAGTGTGCCCCAATCTCTGAGCCTCATATGTGGATCTCATCATCACTGAGCCGATTCTGTTATGTAAGTAAAGCTACTCATTTTGGTGATACAATATTTACCCGGTAGTAGCCGCTCAGATTTCCTCAGTGATGTAGCCTACATGACGTGGACAATACCCATTTATTGGTGAGTGGAGTTGGCAAATATCCATCAATTGACCACGCATTCTACCTCAGTTTTGTTCCCAAAATACATTCAGCACGGTTTTGTCAACAGGGTGAAGCTTGGGCGCCATTGATGACAACATCACACCATAAGCCTCCCAAAAAGTCAACCAAGTGATGATTAAACTATTGAGAAGGACTCAATCCCAGGAGCTCTGCAGGGCTCAGATAGCCTCATTGCCCCCGGCCAATGCTGGCCCTACTCCATGACTCAGCCAAAATGAAAAACAGTACAAAACAGCTATGTAGGTAGTTACCGTGGGAGTTACATTGAAGAAATTATTTCAAGTCTTAAAAAATCTTATCCAGTGCAGTAGAAAGTGAAAGCAATTTGTCAAAATGAAAAAAATCAATATCTTCCAGAAAATTAAATATCAGATGCGAATCTGCAGAGAAAGGTCGTACCCTAAAATGGAAAAGTGGATGAATTTTTTAAAGTGCAAACAAGAGCAAAACTAGTTCAAGAAAGTGCTACTTCAACACAATACATCAAAACAAATATGAATAATCAAGTAAACAGATACTTGATAAAGGGGCTTACTTACATTCTGATGCTTACTTTGGCCGCATCACATTGACGAAATAAATAATTCAAGCAGATTACAGGGATTATTCGATGTTTCGACAGAAGAGTAAAGTAAAGTAGTAAAGTTAATTGGGAGCTGGAGCCCTAGCAAATTCGCGTCACACATGCCCATGGGTAAAAAATGGCTTCAAATCGGCACGTGAATAGCGACCGAGCTGCACTATGGAGTCCACCCGAACGGGTCACCCCAATGGAGCAAAGATACGTCTGTTCTCATGATGGGCCCTAGGTAGGGTTCATTGAGATAAGGGACCGTATCAAAACTGCGATAGCGCACTACATTGGTATAAACAATCGGACCGACTAAGTGATTTGACGAGTTGAACCTATATTTGAGAGGTCAAACTTAGCTCATTCTCGAATTCCTAGCTAGGGTTCGCTCGAATTCTCAGGTACTGGTACATCAGGACCGTTCCTCCCTAAAACACCAAGGTAACAAGCGCTTTATGAGCAGCAGGTTGTGGTTGCATACCTAATATCTCACACTGACAATATTCACTGCAGAATTGTGGGTGTGGTGCAGTAGGAACGGATTTGTCGCGTCGCCGCGAGAGACGCCGCGCGCGAAGGAATGTAGAACAATGCAGCAGCAAGTGTGAAATTCAGGAACAAAAGAACTAGCTGTAAAATCATGCCGTAAGTTATAATCGCCTAGCGATTGAGTTGTATGGGGAAGGCTAGAGCTGTTATACCAGTCAAGTGGTCCGCGACAGCTGCGTGCGGCGGATCGATTACCCATAACCGTCCCCACTGCCCGTCTCCCCAGAATTGTTACTCACCTGTATACTTTTATAACCTTTCATGGTATTTCTTATTACAAGTAAATTACTCTTTATGTTATCTAAGCAACAGCTATGCTACCAAGGTGCCAAGATTACTCGAGAAGCTTTCAGAAACAAATCAACAACGTGATCTTAAAAAAATTCTCTTTACCATCCCTTATCTTCGAGTGCTTCACTTGAGTTCTCAGGAGCCTGCCACATCCGAACCTTCGAAGCCTCCTCCCTTTAACGCCCCACCATGACTCCCAAGAAAACCCTGGGCTTGTCACATTTCTTGCCTTCTACCTAACTGTAGCCCTTGCGGAGTCTTTATCAGGGAAGTTGATTACACCTTCTAAGGTAGGTCCTGGTTCATCCAAACCTCCACTTTTCGTGATTCCTCATGGTCGTTTCTTGCTCTACGCTTCGGAATCTAAGGTTTACATTCCAGATGATGCTGTGACCTTTTCGGAACAAGCTCATACTTGAGTGCATATAACAATCGCGTCACTTAAGCCTTATCAAGGCAATAGACTCTGGGCGACTTTCCTGACGTCCCTGTTTCCAACTCCGTCCAGGAGCGACTACCAACAGGGGTAAACCAGCTTCATGGTTTCCACCCCAAGCATGAGAGAGCTCTGTTGTCTTGGGTCCACTGTTACTACATATAAACCAATGAACGCGCTAAGCTACATAATTAATTAGCTATTTAAATTAATACTTATTTAATGTAGCAAAATGTGAGCATAAAGAATAACAGCGGATTTTGTAAAATACGGAATCTATTATAAACGATCTATACAAGGCTAAAAAAAAGGAAAAAGGAAAACTAGGAGGGAAACGGAAAAGTTTGGTGTAGGACAGAAGCAAACACTCAAAGAAGCAGTGTCTCGGCCCTAAAACATCTGGAACACAGCCTATAAATAGGCCCCAGATCTTCTTCGACCTTTCGAGTGATCTTATCCAAAGTTAAGATACATATTTTGTTAGCGGCTTCCTTTGTTGTTAACTCTTCACGTTACCAGTTGTACCAGAAGATATCGTACATTGGTCATGCGGCCACAGATACGATTGTATTTTAAAGGTCATGCAGGTGTAGGGGTGTTACCGACCCCTGAGCTGACCAACGCGCAGAAGTCCAGTTGGTGTTGCTCTAGCCGAAACACAAAAATATGAATTGAATCGGATCATATCACTTACGAAACGTCATTTTTACTTATCCAGTTGATCGTCACCTTCCTGAAAGGAGCCATGCCACGTCTCCACGTCTTAACCGTTGTATTTTTGTAAATATTTCCGCTCAGAAGGTTTGAAGCAATCCCCTTCTCGCAATCGTAGGTTTTACGGACAGACCCCAAAATGCGTGTCGCATCTAAAGAGTTCTGGAGAGCTTTTCTGGCAGCTAAAGAAGTGTTTAGGATGGACAGTGTCACGAACGCGGGGTATCGATGCTAGGCTTTGTCGGAGTTGAGGCGTCAGACGATAGTCAGCATGATTTCGTTTGTTTCACAAAATAGTGACTCACATATTGTAAACGTTCATTTCTGTTTCCCTCAACCGGGTGTGGTGCAGTAGGAACGAAACTGTCGCGTCGCGGCGAGAAGACGCCTCGCGCGAGGGAATGTAGCAAAATGCAGCCGCAAGTAAAACATACAGGAACAATAGAACTAATAGTAGAATCATGCTAAAAATTACAGCTGTATAGCGATTGAGCTCTATGAAGAACGTTAGAACTGTTATAACGAGGCAAATGGTCCGCGACAGCCGCGTGCGGCGGATCGATTACACAAAACCGTTCTACTGCCCGTCTCCCCTCTCAACCCCCTCCGAGTCTGGCATCTTCTCCCCGAACGGCGTGTCGCGCTATCCGCACGCGATCGCGCGTTATGAAGGGAAAGATTTGAATGCCCAAGGGAAGGATACGGAAAGTCGCCGCGGAACCACTGTCGCAGGCCGTGGGAATTCGGGGAGAATTTCCGTAACCACCCCCTCTCCAAGTCTTCCCTACAAATCCTACAGCTCGCCATTTCTTTCACCTAACCTGGTACTACATAGCCCTCAGCCTTCATGCTTATTTTGTCGTGGAAAAAGCTAATACTTTAAGCCTAGCTCGGCCTGAATGATGAACACTCGTAAGCAAATCATACTGATTTCTGCTAATTTCTCGGATGCACTTAAAGATCAGAAAAGCGGGCATGGGAAAACTACTACTCTTCAAAACACTAATTATATCAAACTTCTACTCTAGTATGTAGAGGATAATGATACCTTTCTAAAATCATCTGATACGGTACATAAAGGAGATTTCTCTGAAACAACTTTATGGTTGTTTCAACGAACTTGAAGACTGTGATACCGTAGCTAGATGTGGGAGAACTTGGAAGTAGAATTGGGGACTGATCCGAAAACGAGGGAAAAAGTGATATCCCGTTCCACACAAGAGCTGAGACCCTCGTTTCTATAGTTGATTTAGAAGAAAGTTCAGGTTCCACAGGTAGCCTTTGAGCTTTTGAACACTGGCGTTCTGCTTGAAAAGCGTAGCGATGCAAGCGTAAGAGAGAGCAGACGGGGTGAGAGTTCGTAGGATGTTTTGAGACAACCACGCCCATTGACGGCCGAGCAGGCAGGACGGACAGTGGAGTCTTTACGATTTAGCGAATAGTTCAATTGCATTCAGTTTCTCCCTCTCAATCATGACATCTACTAACGTAGTTTCTCACAGAAATCAAAACCATAAAAAAACCGGGAAATATTTGAAGTAAATGGCGATCGTTCTTGAGAAATTCGTGGACATGAAACTGTACCAAGCGAGCTCGTCGGCTTTTCATGGGAATCCTGAGTTTAAGTACTAAAATAATTCAGAACCTAAAAGGCCCCTTTACATGGCCTCTGCAAACAAATCACAATTCCTTGCCTTTATACTTGTAAATATTGGCAATTTGTATCGAATTATATAAACATCGTTTAGAATGAAATGAGAGATTTGAATTGATGCCCACAATGTTTGCTCAATTGATTTGTTTGAACATACGTGTGAAGCTTGATGCAGTTATAATTTTGGTAAACACATATTAGGTTTAACTGTTAGAGTAAATATTTCAGGTTTTGGAAGTAATATCTGAAAATGCTGTCCAGAAAAGGGCCAGGAGATACCGGGCATGGCGAGGCCTCTCCGATGTGAACCATGGGTTATGTAGTTGTTCTTGTCTTGGCCGATAAAACCGAAATTGTTTTTGGGGCACCTTGGCAACATGTGCAAATATTTTGCGACTGAGTGATATGTGGAGGTAAACCCCTATCGAGTACTAGTTTGCGGACAGTGAAAAGCAACAAAAAAGGTTCACATTTTTAAGTTATTTCCCATTTCATCGGGTACATATGAAGGGGTGATTACCTAGGGATCAGCAATATGGCTTCTCAATATTCCATTTATAAGACAGTTTTGCCCTGGTCTGTTTTCACAAAACTGGTTAGTTGGCAAAATTACCAGTAAAGGTCTGAACAGCATACTGTAAATGTGGTTGGAGGATGTTTACAACATGGTACGATGCGTTTTCGCATAATCGCGAGAGTATCGCTTGTGTACAATTATGACAAATAAAAAAACATCCCCTTATGGAACCCAATTTCCTGTGGAGTGAGAGATAGGTGTCAGGTGCAGTTGTTTTCGTTACAACACGAAAAACGGCTGCTTGGAATAGTAGGGAGGTGAGGGGTCAATGGGGAAAGGTCCTGATACGATTGGCGACAGCCGGTCGCTGTGAGCTTGTCGACTTAAAGTGGCAGACAACACCTTCTAGCGCCTTATATATGGGAATTGGTAACATCCTCACTATGAGGTTATGTCAACCTCTTCTGATTGGTGACTTCACGACAGGTTTCTACGCAGAAATTAAATTATTCAATATAAGTCTAACAGCTAGAGATTGGGTACAACGGAATAGGAATGTCATATATGCTAAATGGAAACCAGAACTGGAAGAGAGGGAAATGAATGCCAACGTCTTCAGTGATTGAGCCCTAAAAAATGTCCGTTTTCGACAAAGAACGAAATAGGAATAATAGGTTTGTGTGGTAGAAGGTCAAGAGTTCCCGGTCAGATGTTACCGGTTGACCTGACCCGGACCAGAAACCGCACCGCACCTATCATTCCTCACGGAGAAATAGACGCATGAGCCTCGTAAGCCATGAGACCACCGTTTAGGAACATCTAGTGTTTTCCGTAATTCCTTCACTATGATAAAGTCTAAAAGGATAAAATCATGGGATGTTGATCAACCCCGCCTGTGGGATGCGCCCACGCATTCCACTTCCATTCAGAACCGTAGAGCGTGTTGAATGCGTATTTGGCCTAAACAGTGACTTGGGTTGTCCAGCCAATGTTCAAGTCAGTGCCTTTATCCTCCCAGACGTGTCTAGTACCAATTACCCGACCCCGGAGAGGTGGAATGCTTGGTTGGCCTAGGCGAATATCGATCCGGGATTCGAACTCGTGTTTGCATATATAACTTCTTCAACGATGATGGATCTGATTCGGCTGGTAGAAACTGGCAGAGTGAAAATATAATAGGAAAATTAGGGCACTTACTAAAGTACATGATGACAGGGAAACTGGAAATTGAATGTGCCATGAAAATAAAGTGCCATTGACTTCTTCGAAGTCACGACCGACAGAAGTAATAAAATGGTCCTGGGTCGATCTACGCTCCACAGTAAGTTGCATTTTTAGGTTTCTTCTCAGCTGAGTCCTAAGCTAATTACTCTTTACTTCCAAATTGATAGTATCCTTACTAACGCTGAAGCAGCACTAAAGGCGTGAATTGCATGGCACATGCCTAATCCACGGATGAGCGACGCTTTAAAATGCAATCCGATACCGACCGCAAAGCATCTCTTCCGGTCACAAGTTCACATGGTAATCGAGCGCCTTAGACGCCTCTAATGGGATAACAAACAGCGTAGAATCGTCTATATCGCCCTTTCTCCCATCCAGTCTCGTCATGGCTGTCCCCTCCTCTCGGATCGGATAAAGTTTCCCGGATGTGTTTGCCAGTATCCATGAACTCTGCACAGCCAACGTGTGCCAGTACTTCTACTCTTGGCGTCGATGATCCGGCAAACATCGGACTTCCTGATGACAACTGTCATCAACAGTTCCAGCTTAAAGACTGCGGCACATCATTCCTTGGCAATCCAACAAATCTATGTACAATATCCGATCCAGTTGTCGACACCAATCCGTATATGCAGTACCAGTTCGCTGCAGGAGCTCAAATGGCATATTTCAGTAAGTCCTGCTTATTCAACATCATTGGCATCCTTCAGCTTGACCCAGCTAGTTCAAGCAACACCTAGATAATGTTGATTTGGGCTGGTTCTCACTGTCAATCAGAAAAACCCATGTGAATGTCTCGTTATTTCAGATTCGTTTATGAAAGCTACCCAGACCAACAAAGATTGCAGTGTGGCACTTCGTTCGCAACAGCAACGGCGGAAACCACGAGTTCTGTTCACCCAACGTCAAGTGAGTATACCTTTGTAAGAGTACGCCATGTGCTTCTGCTTCCCCAAATCCAATTAGTCAATTGTGAGGCAACTCATTGAAGTCGGTGATCTTGTTTGACCATTTTTACAAGTAGATTCTTAATAATAGAAAATGCTTCAACACGTTCCATGAAGAAGATGAATCAGTCCTTTAGTAACAAATTCTTGAAATTCTCACTCCACGAAATTACTTTGACTTTTCATCTCTCAAAAATGACACTACATAGGTGAATGAACTGGAGGAACGGTTCAAAAGGCAACGCTATGTGACTGCCGGTGAGCGAGAAGAACTGGCTAATCGTCTTGGTCTCAGTGCCACACAGGTGAAATTTGAGTTCTTATGCTCATAGTGAGCTCCACTAAAGACGGCATTGAGAGAAAGTGAAAAGATGATTGGTGTTGACCTCGAATAGGTAGTGAAAAAGTAGACTGCGGGTCGAGACAAGCCGTTTTCATAGAAGCATTGGAACTAGATCAGTGCTTGTAAACTGTGTTAGTCGTTTCAAGACCCTTCATTTCGACCGTATGAAATATAGCGCCCTGAGCGGCGGCGAATCGGGCAGCCCCGGGCGTGACTACCTGGTTTCCTCGCGGCGACTGGGACTGCATGGGTCGACCCATACGCTAAAAAGAGAGATATGTAGCACAAAAGTTTCTTCGATTCTTGAAGAAATCGAAATTTTGCTCTGAACAGAGTCCGGATTGCATCGTATTACGACTAAGGAAAGGTGTAAGTCATGGGTTGAACTGACGGCTTTGAAACCACTACAAGTGGTAATGGTGCTCGCCAACAGAAGGTTTAACACATGAATTAATAAGGCATTAGGTGATCAAACTGGGGTACTCAACCTACAAATCTTGATGAGGCCACTAGCAAGTTCCCCTTTTGACAACCTTTTTCTGTATTCGAGAATTTTCATGTGGTGGTTTCCTTGATAGGTTCACGGTGATTCTTATTCGTATAATGCCTGATCCACAATATTCAGTTGCATTGCTTTGTTGCCAACTCACAGGCTTGGGGAGACGGGCAGTAGGAGCGGTTTTGTGTAACCGATCCGTCGCACGCGGCTGTCGCGGACCATTTGCCTCGTTATAACAGTTCTAGCTTCTTCATACAGCTCGATCGCTATGCGATTATTACTCTGGCATGATTCTACAGTTAGTTCTTCTGTTCCTGAATTTCTTAGTCGCTGCAGCATTCGGCAACATTCATTCGCGCGCGGCATCTCTCTTGCTGCGACGCGTCAATTTCGTTCCTACTGCACCACACCCACAGGCTTGACTTTTACGAAGGGCTCCTTGAGGTGCTGTATTTAGAGTTACTCATTTCAGTATCTTTTCAGGTAAAAATTTGGTTTCAAAACCGCCGCTACAAATGTAAACGACTTGCACAAGACCGAACGTTACAACTCAGTCAATTGCCATTCACTCCAGTGAGTCCTAAGATTGCGTCCCTTTTGCTTTGACATTTGATCTGAAAATATTTCTAATCGATTATTTCGGATCTCAAATGCTATCCATTTCAGCTGTTCGCTTCTGGAATGCCATTCACGTTTGGGTGCTTCAGTAAGGAGTAAACAAAACAATATAGACCATCTTTGACTAGTATGTATGTGAAAATGGTGTTTGTAATTGGATGTGTCTGCTCGTCACGATTCCCATTCATGGCGCACTCCCGATTTCTCCTCCGCAGTGGGGATTCCAACTCATTTTGAAACTAATAGCTTTGCATTAGATTCCGTTGGAAAGTTTATATAATGATATCTGAATTGTTTGCATTTTGTATTGGATTAAGCGATCTGTGAAAGTATTACAAGTAAATGTTTCTCGAGATACTGTTTGTAAATAATGTGTATTTTACTGTTTACTACAATGATACGTCCAACAAGTACTGATAATAGAATCCTTATTGTGCCTACCACTGTTCGGCAGTGATGTTGTCAATTTGCCGATAATTCGATCTGACCGTTTTGATCACTTACCAGGCCCTTCGACGCCGCCTTATCCTCGGGTTGGAACGGCTTACCCGCCCACATATCCAATCCAAATGAATAGCTAACTAGTTCATGGAGCTGAGTTAATAGAGGCTCATTCCTCCGATCAAGTCCAGCCAGATCTACAGCCTTCCTTACACTACTCACCTCAACAGAAATTGGCGCGTACTTACCATTGAAGGGATCAAAATGGGAGGACCCCATGGATCCTTCCCGAAGTTCAGTGTCACCATTTCACTCGCCGGGGCTTTGCTACCCGTCCGTCTGAGCCCGGCTACTCACCCACCTCACTCACCATCGATCACAGATGAGGATTTTGTTACTACTAACCCTCATAGGGTTAGCAGTTGGTACGGCTTCTTGTACTCGCTTTCATTTTCAAGTTTTTCATCACCTTCAACTTCCAAATTCCCTCAAACCTTAGTCGATCCGTCTAGGTCTTGGTGTTGAACATGACTGTGATGGCCGTGTAAATGGCGTATATGCAACTTCACCGTGTTCCAATGAATTTAATCATTGCTACAATGGCCAAGTGACTATAAAGACTTGCCCTCGAGGACTTGTATTCAACCCTGACAGTAACCAATGTGATTTCGACAGTAACGTGTCGGGATGTGCAGGTACCTCATGCAGACGTTGTTGTATAGTTGTGTGACTACAGATATGACATTTTGTAGCACGAGCAGAAGTAACTTGTCACAATCGTAAGGATGGTACTTATACGATTGGATGTTCGTCATCGTTCTTCTTCTGCAGTAATGGAATTATTCATATGAGCACCTGCCAAAATGGGCTGTTCTATGATGTCGACAGAAAAACGGTAAGCGTTTGGTGTCAATGTCTTGGGATAGCAGGCTAGTTACTTTGATGTTTGAGTTAAGCGGTTACTGTTGGGTTTGTCAACAATTTCCTGAAATGTTAGGCAGTCGGTGTTCTTGCTGTACTGATTACCAGTCAAATCGTGTCTATGGATTATGAGCAATTGCACTAGCAAGGGGGGGGGGGGGGGGGGGCTAAAGGCGTTCGATTCGAGCGGCATACCACGTGACTAGACATCTAACCAAGTCTATAAGTCAAAAGTTGTCGCGCACTCTTTAGGGATTGGGTCCATTGCTGCACTGTAGTGTACTCGTGATAAAGTCAGCAATCGAGGTAGGACCGCTGCTGGATGGGAATCCTGCGACTGCAGCCGATAACATGCTAACTACTGTAGGCAAAGACCTCGCGCGCGGCAGAATTAGCCGTCTGCGGTGTGCGCACGAGCCGGTTGCCACGCAGCCGTTCCCCTTTCTCAACCAATCAGCGCCGCCTCTGCTAAACACATGGACTCCCGGTTCCTGAATTGGTTTCTACCAGTGCTAACCAAGGTTGAACTGTTTCAGTGTGATCATAAGTTCCGGGTTCGGGCGTGCGGTGGTCATCCGGAAGTCGAACGTGAACCAGTCACGCGTCCACCACTTCTCGTGCCTACATATGCGCCACTGGCACTGAAGTCTTTTGCAAGTGAATATGGGCCTTTCCATACTTGCCTTTCGTACAGTTATTGTATGTGCGATTTCAGAGATAAGAGGGCTCATCACTGACTTCTCTCATAGTTGCAAAGGAAAGCCTGATGGTACTTATCCGCTGAATTCCTGTAGTGATCAGGTAAAGCATTCTTGCCGACGTAATTATGTATTGTATCCGGACATTTTTACTTTAGTATGTACACTGTACGGAGGAAGTTTCGCAACTGGGTAAATGCGCTGTTGGAGAAGTCTTCGTCGACAGTGGGAAATGCACACCCGTGGCGAATGTTCCTGAGTGCAGCAAGGCGTTGTCTGAAGATAGGTAAGACGATTAGTAGCTTTATCCAATTGTCTTTTTTGAAATGTGCCTCCGATTAAGTATACGCTATGGAGGGTCCAAGCGTTTCGTCACCTAACCGCCACAAGGGTTTTGTGTAGCCTTTTGATGTTGATGAGCAAAGTTGTTCATTAGTTTCCCACGAATGCTGGTTATATTCACAACTTTCATGGTGAGGAGTAGCAGGAGCTGGTGATCGCTCCTGTCCCATGGGGTGGAACGATGAAAGTCGCGTGAACTAGCACTGGTTCGCAATGTTGAACCAACATAGGTCCCAACACTGTAGATCAAGTTCACAAGGGCATTGAAGGAAATTAGTTAGCAATCTTCACTTTGCGCACCCTGCATACTTCTTTACTGTTTGTTGGTTTTTTATCGCTATCCTTGAAGGGGAAGAGAAGGGTCCAAGAGAGGAAACACGAGGACCTCCATCGTTTCTGGAGAAATGGCTATCCCGTAAACTGATGAGAAGGAAGGCGTGTCGGGACCAACAGAAGTCGTTGCGCGTGTAACCTGGTGTCGGCGAGTGAGACTATTGTAATGAAGGTTTCCGACTACCATATATCGGTGCTATGAGGTTAGAGGAACTTAAAATGGCGGGGGAAGGGGGGGGGGGGGGGGGGGGGNGGTGGGGTATAGGCAAAACGGTAGCTTCGGGGCGAGGGCGACGTCGCGCACGAAGGAATGTAGCAGAATGAAGCAGGAGCAGCACAGTACAGCACAAAAGAGGTAACCGTAGAATCATGGCAAAAACAATAGCATACAATCGAGCTGTATGAAGAACGCTAGAACTGCAATAATGAGGCAACAAGTCCGCGACTGCCGCGTGCGGTGAGTCGATTACACGAATCCGATTCTCCCCAAAATGGATAAATGGTCGTATGTCCTCAGAGAAACATTGTGTTGCATATCGGCTGCATCAGAACTAGTAGTGCGAAGTGCTTCCACTGTGTTGAAATCGTATATCAAGTGGTAGCTTCCATTTATGACACCTCTATGAACAGTAGTAAACATGATGCAAAACAAAATTTCCAGTACGATAGATTGTTCGTCGCGTCAGGACGGCTACTATAGCTCAAGTTGCTCTTCAACTTTTGTTTCCTGTAGCAGTGGAGTAGCTCGTCAAATGGTAAGGCGAATGCAATGGTATTTCCGAGCTGCTCTTTCTATTTCTGTTTCTATTTTTCATTTTAACGACATTTAGAAGTGTCCATCTCCATTGGTATTCAACGAAGTCAAGGGGTACTGCGACGCCCCAGAGGACTGCAGTTTGGACACTGGACTGGCACCACCGGCGGATTCACCTAAGTCGAAACAAGATTACCAACCTAACGCAGATGCGACAAAACCTGTTTCGTATGTTATTATTTCGAGTAGAAACGTACTGGGAAGATATTGGGAAAACACGATTATAGCCCATCATTCTGTGCTATGCGTAAAGATGGACTCTACGCCGATGAGTGCTCGGTCGACTTCATTTCGTGCGAACAGGGAGTAGCAACGCCTATGGTGCGACTCTTTGACTTTCCGTAATGTCTTCTTGTTCCCAATCTGTCGCTTCCAATGATGACATACTCTGATCACAGAAATGCCCATCCGGTTTGCTGTTCAACAATAAGAAAGGTCACTGTGATTATCCAGAAGATTGCCTTTCTGGATCAAAGGCCTCGGATCAAAAGCTGTCTCCTGCAGCTTCAGATCAACACCTCTCATCTGTTGCTACGTATGTTTCAGCCTGAGCAAAAAGTCTGGTAGCTCTTGATCGATCATTTCTTCAGGACAATTGAGTGCAAAGGCAAGAAAGACGGTTACTATTCGAAAGGATGCGTGCCTGACTACGTCAGCTGTGTTGATGGAGTGGCTTCTTCGATGGTATTTGTATGCTTTTGCATATAACCACTTCTGACAGAAGTGTTTCGTTGCTACAGACTTGCCCTTCTTCACTCGTCTTTAATGAAGCGAAGGGGTACTGTGACTACCCGGAGAACTGCCCAGGGGGCTCTGCTTCAGTTTCTCCTTCGCCTGTTCTTGCTGTTCCTGCACTGTCTCCACCTACGGCAACGTACGCTCTCTCGCTCCGTTATCGAGTTCCTTACCTTGAATGTTTGGTGCTTTCTTCAGAAGAGTCCTTCCAGGTCAGTCGATTGCAAGGGTAAGAAGGACGGCTACTATTCAAAGGGATGTGTGCCTGACTACGTCAGCTGTGTTGATGGAGTAGCTTCTCCTATGGTGAGAATGATTACGTACGCGTTTGTCTTATAATAAAGTAATAACTGCTTACTTTGCAGACGTGTCCGGCTTCACTCGTCTTCAACGAGAAGCAGGGATATTGTGACTACCCCGAAAGTTGCACCGCAGGCCCCGCTCCGGCACATTCTCCGCCAGTTCCAGCTATGCCTGCACAATCTCCTTCCGCTGCAGCTATGCCTGCACAATCTCCTTCCGCTGCAGCTTACGCTCCCCCAACGTCAACGTCGTACGTTTGTGTTTTAATTTTCTGGATGGTACTCCAAGAAAATGCTCCCCCTGTCTCAGGTCGGTCAGTTGCAAAGGTAAGAAGGATGGCTACTACTCTAACGGATGTGTCTCCGACTTTGTTCACTGCACCGACGGAGTAGCTATTCCCATGGTGAGAATGTTTACGCTGACGATTATTTGTCACTACAGCGATGAAGTTGTTCCCTTTGTAGACGTGCCCGGCTTCACTCGTCTTCAATGAAAAGAAGGGCTACTGTGACTATCCTGAGAGCTGCTCCACAGGACCTGCCCCTGCTGTTCCATTGCCGGCTCCAGCTGTTCCAGCACACTCGCCTCCTGCTCCTTCGCTGCTAGCTTCTCCCGCTCAATCTCTGTTAGTTTACTTTTACATGTCCTTGACAGGTTGCCTTCATTGCGAAATCTGTTTCAGATCAGTCGATTGCAAGAGCAAAAAGGATGGCTACTACTCGAATGGTTGCGTCCCTGACTTTGTCTCCTGCAATGGCGGAGTGGCTTCTCCAATGGTAGTCATATTTATAGATTGCAGTTATTGCGATTATTTCGGTCTATTGCAGACGTGCCCGGCCTCACTCGTTTTCAACGAAAAGAAGGGCTACTGTGACTATCCTGAGAGTTGCTCTGAAGGACCTGCTTTAGCTGTTCCGTTGCATGCTCCAACTAGTCCAGTCCACTCTCCTCCTGCTCCAATGCAAGCTTCTCTTGTCCAATCGCTGTAAACTTATTTGTGCATGTTCTTAAGAGGTTATTTTTTATGAGTAACCCTTGTTACAGAGCTGTCGATTGTAGGGGCAAGAAGGATGGCTATTACTCAAGTGGTTGTGTCCCTGACTTCGTCTCCTGCAACGATGGAGTGGCTTCTCCAATGGTAGGCGTTTGTTCAGATAAGATAGTTCTACGGAAATGTTTTGATGTTGCAGACCTGCCCTTCTTCCCTTGTCTTCAACGAGAAAAAGGGATACTGTGACTATCCCGAAAACTGCTCGACAAGGCCCGCTCCAGCTCTTCCTTTGCTTGTTCCAGCTATGGTTGCACAATCTCCTGCCCAAGCCTATGCTCCGCCCGCGCCAACGTCGTACGTTTCTGACGGTGTTTACTTGCCGATTATGTTTTTCTGGAATAGTTAACTTTCTCAGACCTATTAACTGCAAGGGTAGAAAGGACGGTTACTACTCGAACAATTGTGTGGCTGATTTTGTATTCTGCATCGATGGTGTAGCTTCTCCCATGGTAAGGACCTTCACGCCCGATTTCATGCTTAATTACTCTGAAAATTACAATTAAAATAAGTTTTACATGACAAGTTTCCTCATTGCAGACTTGTCCGGCTTCACTCGTGTTCAATGAGAAGAAAGGTTATTGTGACTATCCTGAAAGTTGCAACACAGGCCCCGCTCCGGCTCTTCCTTCGCCTGTTCCAGCTATGCCAGTGCAGTCTACTTCCGCTCCAGCTTATGCTCCCTCAGCGCCATTGCTGTACGTTTCAAATCCGATTTGGTTGGTAATTCTTCTGTAAAATGCTTCCTCTTAGGCCATTCAATTGCAAAGGCAAGAAGGACGGTTACTACTCGAATGGGTGTGTGGCTGATTTCGTCTCTTGCAACGATGGTGTAGCTTCTCCCATGGTAAGGACCCTCCCGACACTTACGATATCGTCGCTCTTTACAGGTGATGAAGTTTTTCTCCTTGCAGAAGTGCCCGGCCTCACTCGTTTTCAATGAGAAGAAGGTATATTGCGACTATCCTGCAAGCTGCTCCACAGAATCGGCGCCAGCTGCTCCTTTGCCGGCTCCAGCTGCTCCAGCGTATGCTCCTTCTGCTTCACCGCACGCTTCATCCGTCCAATCCCTGTGAGTTCCTATGAGTATACGCGAAATCGATAAGACTTTGGTTGGAAGATAATTGATATAGACCTGTGGACTGCAAGGGCAAAAAGGACGGCTATTACTCAAATGGGTGCGTTCCTGAATTTGTCTCCTGCCTTGATGGAGTGGCTTCCCCAATGGTAATCATTTGCGCGCATGAAATTTTTCTACTTGTTAAATCTACTTTTTTGCAGACCTGCCCGGCTTCACTCGTTTTCAACGAAAAGAAGGGCTATTGCGACTATCCTGAGAGCTGCTCCACCGGGACAGCTGCAGCGCCTCCACAGCCGGTTCCGATTGTTCCCGTACAACCTCCTGCTTTAGCTCATGCTGTTCCGACTTCTCTATCGTACGTTCCTATTGTTTTACTCAAAGACCACTTCTTTTTCGAATTGGCTCACTTTCTTAGAACTCTCAGCTGCAAGGGCAAGAAGGATGGTTATTACTCGAATAGATGTGTAGCTGACTTCGTCTACTGTGTCGATGGAGTAGCTTCAGCAATGGTGAGGGGAATTATGGCAATGGTTGCTTTACATTGCGATCTGGAAAGTGATTTTCTTTTGCAGAAATGCCCAGCTTCACTCGTCTTTAACGAGGAGAAGGGATACTGTGACTACCCTGAAAGCTGCTCCTCAGGGCCAACCTCTGCCATTCCTTCGGCTGCTCCAGTGCATTCTCCTCCTGCTACAATGCAGGCTTCCTCTCTCCAGCCCCTGTAAGTTCTCGGGTGCATACACGTGACTGATAGCTGTTGTCTTCGGAAGCGTAATAATCCAGACCTGTCGACTGCAAGAGCAAGAAGGATGGCTACTACTCAAATGGATGCACTTCTGATTTTGTCTCCTGCTTCGACGGAGTGTCTTCTCCAATGGTAATCGTTTGTGTTTACTGCGCTTCCCTGCTAAAACGTACTGGTTTTGCAGAAATGCCCAGCTTCACTCGTTTTCAACGAGAAGAAGGGCTACTGTGACTATCCCGAGAGCTGCTCCACAGGACCAGCTGCAGCGCCTCCATTGTCGGCTCCTGTTGTTCCCGCACAGCCTCCTTACGCTCCAGCCCAGGCTCCTCCTAGTCCAATGACGTATGTTTCTGGAATTATTTTGCTTGTCGATTGCACTTTCTCTGAAATAGTCCCCTTCTCAGGCCTATAAGCTGCAAAGGTAAAAAGGACGGTTACTACTCGAACGGATGCGTGTCTGACTTTGTCTACTGCGTCGATGGAGTAGCTTCTCCAATGGTGGGAAGGTTCAATTCCAAGAGCATTTTACATCACAACTTGAAATTGGCTTCTTTCGCAGAAGTGTCCGGCATCGCTCGTCTTCAACGAGAGGAAAGGTTACTGTGACTACCCTGAGAGCTGCTCTACAGGACCAGCTCCAGCTCTTCCTTTGCCGGTCCCGGTTGTTCCTTCACAGCCTTCTGCTTCTGCTCAAGCTCCACCCACACCATTGACGTATGTTTCGGTCCAGCTTTACTTATACATCGTCGTCAGAGACAGTTCCTTTTTCAGATATGTCGACTGCAAAGGCAAAAAAGACGGTTACTACTCGAGTGGATGCGTCTCTGACTTTGTCTACTGCGTTGATGGAGTAGCTTCACCTATTGTGAGTGCCACTTCTTTTGTACAAGGATGTTCTTTCGAACTGACTAGTTTTTTCACATTGATGGCTGCCATTGCATAGAGTCGTTTCAATTTTTTTGTCAATGGTCTTTACAAAAATTTCTTTGCCGTGACTTGTAAACCTGATTCAGTGCCGTTGTCCTGTCTTTACTTCTATCTGGTAATGAGAATTCCTTACAACGCTAACTAGGATCTTTACGATCAGGATCCATTGATGAAACTAGCTTGGATGGGAGTAGCTAATTGCAGAGGGGCTTAAGTCATAGCAGCATCTTGAGTGCTCTGATTGAACCGATTCGCGGGATCAATGTTTGCGGATGGGGCCCTTTGGTACTACTATTCTTTGACTGTTTTTTGAAACTTATCTTGTAAAAGTAGTCTACAATGATTTGTGTACCATTGCTCAATCGCTGTTCCCGCTGGCTGCTTTCATAGTCCACGATTTGGCCCGCGACCAGTCGCGCGACCGGTCGCGGGCCAAATCGTGGGCTATGAAAGCCTTTATGGGATGGATTGCCCTGCTCTGGAGAGTCTGGATTTCACCAGCAAACCAGCAAAAACGAACGCCCAACAGTACTACATTGGAACCCTCTGCTGAGTGGTAATATGATTTTGTATAGTGAAGATTGCCACAAGTGCACGCAGAGCTGCACTGTTTACTAATAGGTCAGTCCTAATGAGAAACGTTCGTTCCTATCTTCGATAAACTAGGTCACGCCGCATACGTCGCGCACCGCGTGGCTACTGCGATATCGAGATGGACACATTTGGATTGTGCAGGGGTTTTGCAATTTGTGTTATTTATCTTGCACGGGTATTTGAATGCAACTTAGAACGCGCCGTTGAGAAATGAGCGAGATCCGCTTGTAAAAGAAGGAAACTAGCGAAATAAATAATTCCATATAGAAAATAAAGGAGTTAAGAAAGTGAGGCGGTAGCAGTGAGTTGAAGAGATTTTCCATTAGAAACGTGCAGAACCACTGCTGCACCGATGTCCTATCAAAATGCCACGCGAAAATAACTCGAACCGCAAAACCTTTGCACGGTTCGAACCTGTCCGTCACGAAATTGCATTGGCTGCGCCGCGCGCGACTTGTGCGGCGTGACCCACTTTTATTGAGGATGGGGTCAAAGGGCACTCGTCTCGATGAATTGCAGGCAAAAGGGAAGACGGGCAGTAGGAACGATTTTGTGTAGTCGATTCGCCGCACGCGGCTGTCGCGGACTATTCGTTTGCCGTTATTACAGCTTTAGCGTTCCCCACACGGCTCAAACGATATGCGATCATTATTTTAGGTATGATTCTACTGTTAGTTCCTTTGTTCCTGTATTTCTTACTTGCTGCTCCATTCTGCCACCTTTTTCGCTCGCGACGGCCATCTCGCCGCGGCGCGACGATTTCGTTCCTACTGCACCACACCCGTGCGAATACCGTTTCTGGGAGGGACTTACGAAATATTACTTGTACGGGTTGCAGTACCTTTAGTTGGCGTATCACCACAGCTCGAGTTTCTTCAAGTTTGTGAGTACGCGGAGTGGCGGTTCTGGCGGCGGTTCTGCCCAAATTGCCACGTTGTAATATCTTTTCAGTGGGAATTCGAACCTTTCCTTTCATAGCGCGCGGTCGAGTGCGACGAGCGCGATGCGACTTACGAGGAGAATTTTATTACATTGCAGTAAGCGAAGCTACGAGGGTGTGAAACCGGGGCAGGAACCATAGTGGAGCAATAGTTTACAATGAGGAAAGTAAGAACTCGTAGCAGAGCACATGCGTAAACTGCAGCCTGGGGCAGAATACAGGACTGAAAGAGGATTTTCCAGACAGCTTAATCTTGCAGGCAAGTAGGCCATACATGTGTAGGGTGGTTAACATATCCAAGTTGGACGTACTGCTGTGCACTCCTTAAGAAAACTCCAATTTAGGGCTTTATTAGCGGCGCTACCCACGCATCCCTACTAATACAGCAGAAACTCCATTGACGAGAAAACTTATGACGTGGCGGTAACACTGTTAGTTTACAGAAATGCCCGGCCTCACTCGTCTTCAATGAGAAGAAGGGATACTGTGATTATCCTGAGAGCTGCTCCACAGTGCCAACCCCTGCTATTCCGCTGCCGGCTCCAACAGCTCCAGTGTATGCTCCTCCTGCTTCCCAGCAAGCTTCTCCCGTTCAAACCCTGTAAGTTCCTTATTGCATGCGCCAGACTGATAGCTGTTTTCTTCGGAAGAATATTAATCCAGACCAGTCGACTGCAAGGGCAAAAAGGATGGTTACTACTCAAACGGATGCGTGTCTGACTTCGTCTACTGTGTCGATGGAGTAGCTTCTCCCATGGTGAGAAAGTCTTTGGTTACGTCAAACTTGCATTGGCGATATTGGCCCCCTTTGCAGACGTGTCCGGCGTCGCTCGTCTTCAACGAAAAGAAGAGCTACTGTGATTACCCTGAGAGCTGCTCGTCAGCTCCAGCTCCAGTGATTCCTTGGCCGGCTCCTGTTGCACCTCCCACGCAACCTCCTGCATCAGCCCATGCCCCACCTAGTCCACTGACGTATGTTTCTGTTTTACATTACCTACAAAACTTTTGAAACAACTCCCTTTCTCAGGCCTGTCAGCTGCAAGGGTAAGAAGGATGGTTACTACTCGAATGGATGTGTATCTGACTTTGTCTTCTGCGTCGATGGAGTAGCTTCTGTAATGGTAAGAAAGTTTGTGGTTTCGAGGTTTCCCAAACGTGCCTAAAGACCATTAAACCATTATATCGATAAATCGGGCTGCCTCTTGCAGTCGTGCTCTGCTTCACTCGTTTTCAACGAGCAAAAAGGGTACTGTGACTATCCCGAGAGTTGCTCCTCAGGGCCAGCTGCAGCGCCTCCATTGCCTACTCCGGTTGTTACCGCACAGCCTCCTTACGCTCCAGCCCAGGCTCCACCTAGTCCATTGATGTATGTTTCCGGAATCATTTTGCCTCTCGATTGCACTTTCTGTGAAATAGTTCCCTTCTCAGACCTATAAGCTGCAAAGGTAAAAAAGACGGCTACTACTCGAACGGATGTGTGTCTGACTTTGTCTTCTGCGTTGATGGAGTAGCTTCTCCAATGGTGGGAAGGTTCAATTCCAAGAGCATTTTACATCACAACTTGAAATTGGCTTCTTTCGCAGAAGTGTCCGGCATCGCTCGTCTTCAACGAGAGGAAAGGTTACTGTGACTACCCTGAGAGCTGCTCTACAGGACCAGCTCCAGCTCTTCCTTTGCCGGTCCCGGTTGTTCCCTCACAGCCTCCTGCTTCGGCTCAAGCTTCACCTACACCACTGACGTATGTTTCGGTTCAGCTTTACTTATACATCGTCGTCAGGGACAGTTCCTTTTCCAGATCTGTCGACTGCAAAGGCAAAAAAGATGGTTACTACTCGACTGGATGCGTATCTGAATTTGTGTATTGCGTCGATGGTGTACCAACTCTCATGGTTGTTTTGAGAGCTTCAAATTGATGAGTTTTTTTAGACACTAGCCGACTCTCTTCTAGAAATGTCCATCTTCACTAGTTTTCAATGACAACAATGGTTACTGCGATTATCCTGAGGCCTGTTCTTCAACACCTGCCCAAGCCGCTCCGGCTGTTCCGGCGCCCTCGACATCTACATCTGGCCACTCCTCTGAAATGTGAGCTGCACTTCATTTGTGGTCGTAGATGGATTCTTGAGTCATCCTTCCTCAGGAACCTGGATTGTACCGGTCGCGGTGATGGTTATTTCGCTATTGGATGCTCATCGGATTTCGTGTATTGCAGTGACGGCATCGCCACTTTCATGGTGGGACCAAATAACATGTTGTTGTTCCTTTTCTTTATATGTAATTTACCTTTTTTATGTAGAAGTGCCCAGCTTCACTGGTTTTCAATGCGGAAAAGAATTACTGCGATTATCCGGAAAATTGCTCTGGTACAGGCTTGGATCAAGCTGACTCACAAACAGGCAGTACAGCTCCGAGTCCTTCTGTACACAGTTTCGGTATTGTTACTTCTCAGCAATTGTCAGATTGTCCCTAACCATTGCACGTTCAGTTTGTCCGAAACCGAATGGTGCCTTCTCGAATGGCTGCTCAGCCGAATATTACGTTTGTTCAAACGCGGTTGCTCATGTCATGCTGTGTCCAGGAAACCTCGTTTTCAACGCTGCAGAAAGCTACTGTGATTTGAAGGACAGCTGTCTCCAGGGAGAAAAGGTTTGTGGCGTCTCTCAGACTGTTGAGCCGTGTGCCAGTCCCTCCACCTCCCTTACAATTAGAATCGTGTAATTGGTGTGTCGTTTCCCGACCAACTTCTTTGAGCAATGTCTTCTTCTCATTACAGGCCAAAGATGCAACCACTCTTGTAGCATACAGACCTGTTACGTCTACAGTACCAGCTCTCCCTTCGTCAGGCGCTGCTACGACTCCATCTGCTTCCTCAAGTTTGTCTGATGACTTTTTATTCGTACTGGTAGTCGTACGTGTTGATCGGTCAGTAGTGGAACCCTTCCCTTTCAGAATGCTCCAACCTTCCCGATGGACGTTACGGATCTCCTTGCGGAACGAAGTTCATGATCTGTTCTTCTGGTATCGCATACTTCATGAATTGTCCGGCAGATCTCGTTTTTGACTCGACGCAAAGCCGATGTGTCTATGCGGATGAGTGCGGTCGGGAGCCAGTTCTGAAGAGTCCTTCTGATGTCGCGCCCTCGTCGTACACACCGCTAAGTTCAAGAGATGGTGAATTCCTAAATTTTCCAATATTTTCGCTTGAAGTACCACTTTGGCTTTCAGATTGCGTTGGCAAAACTGATGGACTGCATTCGCTCGGCTGCATCGCCGAATTCATTCAATGTGTTGACGGCAGTGCCTATAGCCTGTACTGCCCTGCTGGTTTAGTGTTTGTCGAAGAGCTAGGCGTATGTGATGTCCCTTCTGCTTGTTCCGCAACACCAAAACATGAGCCTGCCGACGGTCCAATGTCCTACGAGCCAGTTGTCGATGACAAGTCGAAGGACTCGCCAGGTGGGAACGCAGGCATTGGGGTTACAGGTGGTTCCTGGAGATATTGTTGAAATGTGTTTTACAGGGTGCGATATTGACGGGTACTTCTCTCAGCCCTGTGCTTCTGAGTACTTCAACTGTGTAGGTGGAATAAAATTCGTTGGAAAATGCTCGGCCGGTTTGGTGTTCAACATGGACAAGGTGTACTGTGACTATCCAGACAACTGCAGGAAAGGTGAAGACTCGGCCAGTTCTGAAGCCCGACCCGTTCCCAGCACTGTCATCAACAAAGGTAACGGTTAAGGCAAAGGTCATACAGTCATGCCATAGTCGGGGGCATTTCGCTGAATGTTTGCTTTCAAGATGAATCCTGTAAAGGACGGCCTGATGGTGTCATTACGGACACCGACTGTCAGCATCAGTTCACCACCTGTTCGAATGAAATCGCCTATGTCACGAAATGTCCAGCCGGGCTTGTTTACTCGGTGAAGGCTAAGTTGTGGGTGCTGGAATTGTAGACTATTAACCTTACTACATGTTTTGCAACTCGTGCTCATCCAGGTGTGAGTATCCCGAAGCGTGTGGAACGACTTCCAATGACAGTGTGAGTTCATCAACGGGTTCATACCCAGTCCAAAAGACCACCGTGCCTTCCGAGAGTATTCCACATCCGACCTCGGCTTCGGTCCAATACCAGCACTCTGTCGTCGGAAGTATGTATGATTTTTAGCCACAGCTGTCAGTTTTAACGCACTCAGGTTTTATTTTACTTAATTTCCAGAAGATCTGTGCGCAGGCAAAAGTGATGGGCCACTGAACTCTACAAACTGCCGGCCGTCGTTTTCGTTCTGTGTAAGTGGAGCACTCTATTCAACGATTTGTCCTGAAGGCCTGCTGTTCTCTTTCGCTTCGAGAAGGTTAGTTTCCCATCTGACCTCGAAGGTAATTCCTTTGATTACCATATAACTGCTTGAGATGTGAATGGCGTTCGGAATGTGAAGATGTTGTTGCCTCACCCAGCGAACCAAGCACAACCACAACTAGTTTGCCAGTTCATTCAGGAGGTGAGTCAATCAAAAGGAGTTTCAATCGACTCGTACCTACAGGAGCGTGTAATACAATAATTTCTTCGATTTCTAGAATTTGATTGCTCCACACGTCCCAATGGAAGGTACTCATTGGGTGGTTGTGTTGGGAGGTTCGTGATGTGCAGTGACGGACGAGCATATGTTCGAAGCTGTCCGAGTAATTTGGTGTATAATGAAGCGAAAGGTAAATGAAATGTAGTGATTGAGTTAGGGCGAACCCATTTGTTCCTCGTTTAAATACAATGGCCTTCAGAGCTTTGCGATTACGACTGCAGTGGTCCGTCGGCTCAGCCTACTGCTGCTCCAGTTGAGGTAAAATTTGCTTATTCTCCTGTCCCAATTGTCATGATCCTACCACTGTTGCTTTCAGACCGAATGCGTCACAAGTGTCGCTTTGGGACGCTGTTCTTCGAAATTCTGGCGTTGCAGAAACGGAAAACTGGAGTCGGCCCAATGTCCAGGGCAATCCCTATTCGATGAGACCTATTCGCTCTGTGTCTATAATCTTCCCGAATGCAAGACAGAACTAGGCACAACTACTTCCACCTCTGTAGAAGTAAGTGGTAGTCGTTTTACCAGAATGCCTTTCATTTATACATCTTTAGGCACCAACCACCACTGCAACTCCTGTGGAATCAACTGTTTATCCAACGCATGGTCACTTCTATCCGCCGCCGCCACCACCACCACCACCGCCAGCACCACAGTACCCAGCCCAATATCCTCCTTATCCTCCTTATGGCGCGTCTATGGGCAGTTCATTCGGATTGTTCTATCCAGCAGCTTTCCCCATGGGATTCCGAGACATAATGTATGGAAGAGAGAAAATAAATAATGGACCCATTGATTTCCAAAGTCGGTCGGCCGTAGTTGATGGTGGTTTTAATCCTCCTGTGAGAGACATCTTTGATGGCATTGTTAGTCCGTGGCTGCTTCCCGGTATCGATCGCGTATTTCTGCCGAATGTCTTCAAACCGCCCAGACAGCCTGACTCATACGACGATCCATTCAAGCCAAAAGGAATCGACATCTCAGGATTGCTTCAGCAAAACGAAGTGAACACGCCTGGACCGCTTGGTGTAAGCTTAGGTAGCGCTACTGGAACCACTTTAGGCCTTTCAAACTCTGTTATAGATGTTCGGAATGCCGTTGGAGGATGCAGTACCACCAGACGATGAAGAGCATCACCAAGACCACGGAATCACTCATGAAGAAGAGCTTGAAAGCAGCCCGGTGGCGAATGTAACCAGCCCAGCGTCGGAAGATAAGATCGATGAAGCGTCGATGAAAGCAATGGATGCCGTGCCAGTTGATGATATCGAGGTACTAAATGATATATATCTTATCAATCTAACTCTCCCTGTGGATGGTTTATAGGGCTCTGGAGATGATGAGGCGGCACAGAAATCTGGAGACGTGGAAGTGACACGAAAACGGCGAAGTTACTCCAATAATGCGGACTTCTCCACTGCCTGTACTGGTCCCCAGTCATCAGGACTTGTCTCAATTGGATTCTGTCGTCAAGACTTTATATTCTGTAAATCACTCGGTAGTGGAATGGTGAGATTAAATCGTTCCATTCGGAAAGTTCAACGAGAATACCATAAAAACCTAGATGGCTGCATGTCCCGTTGGCGATTTGTTCGACAGCAGCACCAACAAATGTGTGACATCTGAAACTTGTGGAATTCCTGTAGAGGTGGCTGAGCCTCCCGCTCGAAGTGAGTTCTATTTTGAGGCTTCTTTGACGTGATGGCTAACATGAAGTCTTTTCAGAGCCTATACCACCACCAATGCCTGTGCCGTTACCTATTCTACCTCAGCGACGCCCTCCCACACCTCCCTCTGTACCGGTCACTGTACCACCAGTACCATCGGTTCCTGTCTTTCCTCCACCTCATGCTGTACCAACCACCACAACGAAGCGGCCTCCAATGACTTTCCCACCTATACCGGCACCAGTGGCAGCTGCCCAACATCTTAATCAGCCTAGTCAGGACGGCTGTACCGAGGACTACGCTGTGGATTGCAATGGAAACTTCATGAAATGTTCGAACGGCATCGCATACCCGATGAAATGTCCGGCGGTACGATTTTGTGTTTCGAAGTTCGATACCACCTGTTTATGTTTTGCATTGCCAGGGCTTGGTATATGACCAGACAAAGCAGTATTGTGACTACCCAGAGGCCGTAGCAGGATGCGGTGGAGCTCAAGTGGATCATACACCTCCAGGTCACTCCCCCATCTACCCTACTGATAAAACGTACCCTGGTGATCCAATTCTGCCGCCAACCACCCAGGCACCTACAACGAGAGCTCCCGGTCAGTTGTATTGTTGATTTTCTTGCTTGTTGAAATTAACATGCCAGTTCAGATTTTTGCTCCTTCATGTCCGATGGGCTTTACAGTCAAGGATGCACGGCTTCCTTTGTGATTTGCCTGGATCGACGAATTCAGACATCAATGAACTGCCCAGTGGGCACATGGTTCGATCAAACCCGCTATGCTTGTGTTTCTCGTGAAAAGGTTGCCGCATGTGGCGGTACATCCAATGGTGTGTAGTACTCGTAGCATTTCTTGTAATATATTAAATCGGGAATTTTTTTATTTGGTAGTACTTCTAGAGCCTTCATTACATCAGCCGCAACCCGTTGTTGTCCGTACTACAACGCCAAGTTCCTACGATGATTCGTGCTCACCAGATCCCCAAGCCGTTGGTCCCTGTAATCCAAAGTTCGTAGTTTGCTCGCATGGAATACACACTGGTAGGTGCAGTAGCGTACTTTTCACTTCACTTTCAAGTACACGGTGCACCTTAACGATCTAGGATATTGATCAAGATTACTGATTGACATTGCCAGAGATGGAATGTGCGCAGCCGTTGGTGTTCAATCCGGCCACGGTGTCATGTGACTACCGTGAGTTCGTAAAGGAATGTATACAGGCGGAGGGTCAAGATGTCAGGTTACCTTCGAGTAATGGTGAGTCAGCGGAGACGATTGCACCAGCACTTCTCGCTGCGCCAACCACCCCAACGACTGCACCAACCACCACAACTACTTCATCTACGACTACAACCACTCCGGTAAGTTTCTTTGCCGCTCGTTTCGTGGTTATTTGTTTTTTTTTCGTTTTTTTGTGATGGTACATATTCTGATAACTAATCGCTCAGCACCCTTTCTTCTGTTCCAGCCAATCAAATGTGTGTATAGCGAAGAGCGTCCAACATTTGCTCTTGATTACTGTGCTCGAGTATACGGTATGTGTACCGGATCCGGTGTGCTGAAACAAGAACAATGTGATGTTGGATTCCTGTTTGATTCTCACTTGAGCACTTGTGTACCAGCGGAACGGTGTGGTCAGGAGCGCTTGAAGGATCTGCTCAGCAAGGTGGGTTTACCATTTGTATTTGTATTCTCTTTATAACTTCGTGCTTAGAGGTTGCGATTTTTAGTAAATAAATTTTCCTCTGTACAGGTCACCTTTGCCCCTCCAGTAGCGGCTGCACAAGTGGCACAAGACACCTCCAAACACACGTCGCGAAAGGACGAACGCTGTCACAACAGTCCCGAGGGTGCCATGAAGCCAATGGGTCGATGCCGATCGTCGTACATCCGATGCATGGGTGGTGAAGCTATCGTTGAACCATGCGCAACTACAGCTGAAGTGTTCTCGTCGGCCGTTGGTGCATGCGTGTTGCGCATCAACGCTCCTGAATGTCATTCCTCTCCACCACGGTCTCCACAGCCGTACTCATCGGCGTCTAGCAACGATCCGTCTATGTTCTGTAGAACGCGCACGGATGGTTTGTACAGAAATCCAACGGACTGCACGGGAATCCTTCAGGTGGGTCCAATTCGGCTTTTCTGCTTCTACCATTGTAACTGATGCTTTTTCGCTTCAGTGCTTCGGAGGTGACGTCTTCGAGTATCCGTCATGCTCATCGGGACTTGTGTTCAACGAGCTAACATCCAAGTGTGACTATAGGAATGCAGTCCCCGAGTGTCGACAAGCAGAGGATGACAAGAATGGTTGGTAGCTTGTGAAGCATTCTTTGTTTTTTTCGATCAATATTGATTTCTGATTGATTGGACATTCCAGTGGAACATGGTTGCCGTGGAGCAAGCCACGGTGATCTCGTCCCAGATGAATCCGACTGTCAACAATTCTATCGATGCGTGTGGAATCGACTGGAGTCTATGCGCTGTCCAAGCGGCACAGTGTTCAATCCCAAACTATCCGTGTGCGATTGGCCTGACAACGTACCACAATGTTCTGCCCAGCAAGACGAGTCAGCAGTGAAAGTTTATTAGGCCATTAAAGTCCTCATGTGTGAGCCGCAAGTGTTGTCGTATAACCAGACCCTTCATAGGAATTTATCCTCGTGTCCTGTTTCCTGTGCAATTACTCGGTGAGATCTGTGATAAAATATGGTAACACATTATATTAAAGTATCCGCGCTCTATATACTAATGTTGCATGTTTAATAATGTTTTACTTGTTTGTTCAAACATAAAACTTTTTTATCACTTATTGTATTCCATTCAATTGAACTGTGTGAGGTCCAAACAAATGGCCCAGACTGGATAATGGGCTACTGAAGAAGTTGAACATTCGAAGGATGAATACAATCGGTGTGTAATGTGCATCGTTTTGCTTTGTATCGTTACGGCGCCTACGCGGGGGTTGGCTCTGACGAGTTTACACTGACTACGACGGGAATTTGTCCCTCCCTCAATCGCATATCCTGGTGCGATCGCTGGTCTGCCATATGTTTGGAGTCGTGGCTGGCTGGTGCTGAAACTGTTCTCTTTCACTCCTCTCGTTCCTTCCGTTCTACTTTGTTTATTTCAGTCGCGTTTTCGAACCTTTTTTTCAAAAAATCTAATACTTGAACGAATTTTACTTTTTTTGCAGCTACCAAACATGTCCGAAGAGGAGGAAGTGTAGTAAGTATTCAAGTATTAATAGTTCAGTAGTAGAATAGTATTATAATGTAGCGTTGAACGATTTTACTGTGCTCGTTACAGCTCTGAAGAGGAGGAGGAGGAAGAGCTCGAGGATGAGGAGACTGTAGCTGAAGAAGCGTGAGTTTGATTGACATCAGTAAGGTTCTTTAGTAAGACTCTTCCGATTTTCAGACCAGCTGAGGAGAAGAAGGAGGAGAAAGAAGAGGAGCAACCAGCTGTTGAAGAGGAGAAGTTGGTCTTGTTCGTATTGGAAACGATTTGATTCCGATGATATCGTTTTGTTTTTTAAACTGGATATTACTTAGTAAAAGGTTGAGAACGGGGTTTTCAGGCCGAAACCCCGTGCTCCACCACCACAGGAGGAAAAGCCTCCAGCGGAGTTGACCGAAGCCGAAGCCGCTATGCTGGTGAGAATTCAGAATTGCCACATTATTACAACAACCTTGGGTTAGCTACGATCATGACTTTACACAAAAGTCCTGGAAACGCCGAATTGGTTGTAATAACACAATACTACCTTTATTTTTTGTTACTGTGGGTCTCTTGACTAATAGTATTAGCGTACAAATAGATGATCTGCTTCGGTATCCTCCTATGGAGTTTTTTGGATCGGTTGCTCGGTTATGCGGTCTCAACGAGCCTTCTGTCAGGAAAATCTTCATCGATGCCTTTTCTATCGTCGAACTTACTATCACCCTTTATTGACCCCTATTTAAAAGGTCAACCAGTGGATCCCAGTACGTGGACCGTCCTGGGCTCGAGATTCGCAGGAACCGCTCCCTTCCACAGATCTTCTCGTTCCAATCGAGAAAGGTCTATAGAGTCCGAGTGGAGCGTATTTCGTGATGCACGTTTTTCCTTAATTTCTGATGATCAGTCCCAGTATGTGTTGCCCAATGGAAATAATTTTTATTTGAGAGGTTCGGTTAAGAACAGAATCGTCATGAACGAAAATTTCTTATTTTTAGGCAGCGAAGAAGCGTCATGAAGAAGAGGAGGCACTCAAGATGCTCGACTACGAGCAGCGTCGTATTGCTGAGAAGGAGAAGATGGAACAAGAACTCCGTGAACTCAAGGAGAAACAGGAAAGACGTCGTGCTGAGCGTGAAGAAGACGAGCGCCAATTTGCTGAACGTCGTCGCCAGGATGAGGAGCGCAGACGTAAGGAAGAGGTTAGCGACTTCTAGTTTGGCCTGTCATGGCCAAAGCTTCTGTCGGTGCCCGTATCGACGCCTACCAGTATTTCTGTCTGTGGGGTGTGTAAATATGATAGGATATTACAGGAAGAGCGCAAGGCCAAGATTGATGCTGAAAAGAACCGTAAGAACGATGAAAGAATGCGTCGTCAACAGATGATGGCTGGCTCATTCGCTGGTCACTCAGTTCAACCTGGAAGTGGAAAGAACTTCACCGTTGAAAAAAGTGACAAAGCTGCTCAGTTTGGTAACCTTGCTCAGGTGAGAGTATACAAAGGAGCATACAAGACTTATATTCCTTCTTGTACATGCCAGAATTGTTTACGGTACATTCTATCAGGAAATATTTTTGTAGGGGGCAAAGAAGAAGGACGGTATGTCCAAGGAACAGATGGAGGAGGCGAAGAAGGCATTCATCGCTACTGTATGCCGTGCAGTAGATATTTCCTCATTGCTACCTAACGATCTGAAGGACAGAATCAAGGCTCTTCATCAAAGAATTACTAAGCTTGAAAGTGATAAGTACGATTTGGAGAAGCGCCAAGAACGCCAAGAATACGACGTACGTGCGTTGGGAATAGGAATCCAATACTTAGTAATGTGGTAGTTATTTAAATGGATTATATTTAGATGAAAGAGTTGCATGAGCGCCAACGACAAGTTGCTCGTAACAAGGCTCTTCAGAAAGGTCTTGACCCTGAAGAGGCCGCATCATCCCTTCACCCACCAAAGGTCACTACTGCATCGAAATTCGATCGTCAAACTGATAGACGGTTAGAGCTTGTTCCTGCGTACCAGTTTAAGTGAAGTGAGTAAAGTGAGTAAAATAAATCAATGAGTATTGATTGCAGATCATACGTCGATCGCCGTATCATGTTCGAGAAGCCATTCGTTCCCAAGCCACCCACCATCGCACATGGAACTGCCCGCCCACCAAGTGACTGGGGACGTAAGGATAACGAAGAGCTTGAGCAACTTCGGTAAGACGTTCTTTCATAGCCAGTTTCTAGTAGAGCCAGACCTCATTCCCTTTATTCCAGCAAAAATCTCGAACCACCAAAGTATGTGGAACAGGTAAAGGCCGAAGGTGAAGCAGCTCGACCACCAGTTGCTCCAATTCCATTGCAGTTGCCGGAAAAAGATTTCGAGGATGAAGAGCCTCAGCCGGTGCGTTAGTCTCACCATTCTGTGGTGGTTATGACTGATAGCATCGATAATCTTATGTTTATAACACCTTTTTCCAGGCTGCTGCTGAGCCAGCAGCCGAGGCTGCAAAAGAAGTGGAAGTAGCCTAAACGCAGACTTGGCTAACATTTTGTAAGCACGATGATACTCGTACATATAAATGTTTTGCATATTTTCGTCTTTGTATCACGACTTTTGAAAGCTCTCCTGGCTTCTACACATCGTATTGAGTACCTTTTCCCTTGAGACATCAGCAAGCAAGTTATATCTTTTTTTGCCGTCGCAGGACGGAGCCCACCGATTTTCCTCACTTTAATCAAATTCATATACAAATCTCACAAGAAGTAATATGCAGCATACTGTCAGCTGAACCTTGGCGTAAGCTGAACCAAATGTGTGCACTTCTGTGCCTCTGAAAAAATGAAATCATTTTCTCAATCGAATCAGGAGTATGGGACCAGGTTTTACATCATGAGATGAGTACTGAATTGGGCAAATGATATAGATATGATGATATCAGCAAAATCACTGGCTCATCATGAGGGCCCGTTTATAGTTAGCGATGGGAATCGGTCGTTGTTAGATCAGGCTGAGTGCCACATTTTCATATGACGATGAGCTCCATTCGCGACAGTCACATAAGCGTTTCAAAATAAGTTAACACCGAAATCGTTAAAGTTGCGTGCGGTACAAAACAAAAACTCGCTACAGCACGTTAGTCTTACAGTAATCCGGGCCATGGGTCTTGACTCGAATGGGTGCTCGCGATGTAATGCTAAATCCCTAACTACCCCATCACCCACCCTGCGTCCTTGCCCAAAGTTCTTATTCGATTGTCATATATGTGACGGGTGAAGTTTAGGGCCATGGTGGCAAATAGGGTTATGCCGTGGAATGAAATGTCACGATTGGGTGCTAGCCCCGCCCCAGTCGCTTCGTGAATGGGGCGGGAATGTAATCGACACTACCGAAAATCATAGGTCTGTTGCTTTTCCCCAACTTTCCATGTACCCTCGTAACTGACCGTTACCAGTGTCATATTAACATCTTTATCGATATTCAGCAGTGGGTTGGACGTAATAATTGATGACGGTAGGTAATCAATAGCTATAGCTTCCATAATCGATTATTATTACACCAAGCAACAGAAGGATCGTAATACTTGAATAGAGCAACGGCGTTCACAACATTTTCGTGCAATGAGACGCTCTCGATCTTCCGGTTCAAGGGGACCCTCGAGCTCTGAAACAAGCGCCATTTGAGTTTTACTTGAAAACGGAATTTTCGCTAAGTTAAATAGGAGAACTACTGAGTGCTATTACAGGCTTTCAGGAACTTATTAGTAAGGGATTCGAGAAAGAAAGTTCATATATACAGCGCGTTGCTGAGAGGGGCTCTGCCACAATTTAAAAACTCAAGTAATTACCGTCTATCTTTTCACGTTGTCATTTAAAGGATGATAAGGACTTTTACTGGGCATAGTACAGGTCAGGTACGAGTATAAAGTGTTTTTACAATAATGAAGTGGGTCTCCCCCCCCCCCCCCCCCCCCCCCCCCCCCTCCCCGTACTCTCTCCGTCCAACACCTGGTATCAATTAGCCGGGCCCGTGGTAGTTAGAAATACCGGATCGGATATCGACCGTTTTCGACTTGTGGACGTAACATTTGGATGTAACAACGGCACTATTGATTGCTGTTACGAGTTTGAAATGAACTGTCGTCAATCAATAAAATAGATGTGGTCAACCAATTGAAAATTAGTAAAATTTCTGCTAAAGTTCCTTGAAGAATGAGGAGTACGCAGAGTTTCGAAGGTTCCAATATTTCAATGAATGGGAAATGGTAAGTGAGCTACCTACTACAGGAATGTTAATTCTAAGAGCTGCTCTAGGCTAAGAATACCAGTTAGCTATGAAGGAGCTGATTGACTTACCAAACAATTGGCGAATCGGCTCACAGGATTCTTCGGTCATCGCACGACATTGGAATATCATGGCGATGTTGAACTGCCGTGCACATCGTCGTACTCTTGACTTTATTACCTTGAACGAAGCCTTTCCTGAGGAAAACTTGTAAATAACTGGAATGGTTACTATCTTATTTTACTCTTCTGCATTGCACTTCCATCAAACATCAAACACTACAACACGTAAGTAACAGTCCCTGCTTGGCTGTAAGCCCCCTAGGAATCGCATTATACGAGAAATAAAGAAGTAGATTTTTCAAAAATCAAAGGAAACCTAGATGTGTACAACTCCCCTGGGAATCGCTCATCCCGGCACTTATATGATTTATTTCTTCTGAAATCTATATTTTCTTGTTTGAAAATATAATATTTCTCTCTGACTTGCAAACTACGATTAGTCATCTTCGATATTGTGAGGTCTTTGTTACACAAGCTGTTTATTCTCACTTCGATTAAAAAAACAGACAACGTCTGTTTCATTGTAAAGTTCAGAGGAAGCGTGGGAATCAGGAATGGCGTCAGAATGTTTATAAACGGCTTCTGGCTTTTATACATATGCTCGTATACATATGTATAGAAGCCAAAAGATTGTTCCTGTTACTACGACGCAAGACTTGATAAATTCCGAAGCCTTTTGACTTCGATTGAAGGCACAGTTCACGATAATTTTGAGGTACCTGTTTTTATTCGAGAAGTGGAAGTATAGATTCGGTAATAGTTCATAGGTAGTGAAGAAAGCGAAAGAATTTGCCGATTTCGAGAAAAGTATGGCTTCTCAGAAGTAGTGAAAATAGAAGTTGGACGAGATTGTCATGACGGAAATAACATGGAAGGGGTATTCGGACGAGATTTCAGTCGTCGTTATTGCGCAAAGGGCTGACTACATCAGGCCAAAACTGTACAGAACTGTCTTTCACTCTCGCTATGGGTCATGACAATTAGTTTGAACTTCCTAAATGGGCTCCCTTGTGATCGGTGCAGCCTCTATAATGCCGGTGAAACTTGTCCCAGGATGCACACTTGCCAATCTTTGAGCCTTAATGACTTCCTAACTAGGCCATTTTCCGACCTGATAGTGCCAGATATGGTATACGAAGGGGGCTCAAATTCATCCTGTGAGAGAATCTCAGAAACCATTTTCATCCTGAACTGTGCCTTTAACCCGTCTTAGTTTGTACAGACATTGCATTCGCCTTCCGTTTATAACCGCAGGGACGTTTCATATGCGTATTTGGCCTATTCGGTGACTCCGGTGGTCACTCGATGGTTAAGTGAGTGTTTTATCTGTCAGGACCAGTTTGGCACAAATCAGCCGACTCCGGAGTATGGACAACTCGTATGGGGAGTATCGACTCGAGATTCGATCGCTGAATTATGCGTCGTGTCACGCCCTTTCAAATCTAGATACTATCAGAAATTATTTGATTTAAATGCGTATCCCTTTACAACATGTTTAAATGTGCGAACTAAAATAAAACGGCGCTCAAACGGATCCCCAACTCTACATTTTACTAATTGTTTTCTTTATCACTCCATTTGTGAGATAGGAGGACTATGTAGTAATTTTCGGTGGAAGTATTTTCCACGGAGGAGATTGAAATGCGATCACCTCCATGGTTTCGAGCGGATCGCATTAGAAATGTGTCCGTCTTTAGATCCGAAGCAGTCGGAGCAGAAATGATCCCACCTTCAGAGAATACTTCATGACACCTCAAAACTCCCTTACTTTCCCGTTTCTACATCAGTTGTTCTAAATCCTTCTGCTGAATTCGGGAAGTGGGGACGAGGAGAGACCCCGAATGGTACAGGAAAAAGCCCAAACTATAATAATAAGTAATGAGTTAAGAGCAAATAGGCTTGAGAAGCTTGTGAAGGCGAACAAGAATTCTCTAGGTGTACCCTTCTATCTCATGGTGTACTACTACTTTTTTTAGAACGTCCAAGCAGTCCGAATATAAAATTACTTATTCTGCAGCTCGTCGGTTAGACTATTTCCTGAAAAGGTTCTGTGACTTCAAAATTCCTTAATTTTGCTTTCAAACTTTCAATTCAAATAATTTTAGCTTCTAGCAGGCGTATTCTTTGATATTTCGAAGTGTAATGGCTATTAACGCCGCCACTACGTTGTCGTTCTTTACTGCGTGGCTGCGAGGCATCTGTCTGATCGCGCCCCACCTGCTCACATACTATGCCACCCACACTCATCCTACTAGTCAACAAATGTTTCGTGAAAGCATCCGCTTGACGTATTGCTCCTCAAAGGAGAAGTTATACGTCAACACAGTTGAAAGCTGCTGCAATTTCTCAGTCGTTGGGAAGGAATTTACTGACGTCATGTACCAACTAAGTGGCCCTGTAAAGAATACTCTCCCACTTCAGTGCATATGCAAATCTTATAAGAATCAGCATTGAATAAATATAATTTTATTAACATAAAAGATAAACTCTGAGTTTTTTTAACGTTGACCAATCCCGTTTCTGAGATGAGCCCAGCAATTGGCTCCCATTCAGAATTGTAATGACGTTTTGAGTGCGTATTTGGCCTATATAATGACTTGTGTTGGCCAACTAACGTGCAAGCCTGTGCTTTTATCCTCCCAAGCGAATCTGGTACCAGTCATTCGATTCGGGAGGGATGGGAAGATGGCTTGGCTTAGGTGGATATCGGTACGGGATTCAAACCCGTGCATGCGAGGCAATGCCCACCTTCCATTACCCTTTTTACCTTTTACTTTTACCAACACTTTTTTTATCAACATGGTGTTGTTGTCATTTTACTAACCAGTTGTATCAACATGCACTTTCATTAGGTGCAAAACCTGGGAATGATGAATCTTTGTGATGAACCCGATTACTAAAGAAAGGTTCAAGCTGAATATTTTAGCTAACACTTCACCAAGAGCAGCTACCTTATACGTGGTCTGTAAATCGAATTTTGAACCATGGATATCGGCCCAAAAATCTAAGACTTCCCATTGTTCGGAATCAGTCAATTGACATCAAAACCACCCGACTTAGAAAATTTGCCGTCTTCTAACCTCCCCTTCGAAAAATCTGTTTACAACTATGCCAGGAGCTTTAGACTTCTGTGTAACACAGTGATAGTATAATTATAAAGTTATTTTCTTACCTGACTGTCTAGAAACCCATGGCTGAGCTGCGTTAGAAGTGCGAGTACAAGTAGAGTTACCAGTGAGCAACCTCCTTTCATAGTGTTATCCCCTAAAATGGATACTGTATTTATTGGAAAGGGAAACATAACACAAAGAAAGTGAACGGAGAGAAATCCATCGAGACAAAACATAGATCGGGGAAATCGAAACTCAAAAATGATTCTATCAAAATCTATGGAAGACCTCCCACCATCATAGAGACATGGCAATGTAGGTGGTCTATGCATCCCCTTTCATACTATTTTATCGTCTACAAAGTTATTTCTGCCAGATTGGATCAGCTACTCAGAAAATGATGAATATTAAGAAATCCTCTGTCTTTTTTCCTTTGGTTCAAGAGTTCAGCCCAATTTTTCCAGTCAAGCGTGCTGAATGAGGTTTAGTAGTTGATATGAAGTTTACACTTCAACAATTCCTTATATTGAATGAATCTACTGGTTGCACTGGGGTGTGATATAATATACCGTACTCCGGGGTGTGATGCAGTAGGAGCGAAATTGTTGCATCGCGGAGAGAGAGAGACGCAGCGCGCGAAGGAATGTAGCAGAATGCGGCAGCAAGTAAGAAATACAGGGACAATAGAACTAACAGTAGAATTATGCCAAAAGTAATAATCGCATATCCATTGAGCTGTATGAAGAACGCTAGAGCTGTTATAACGAGGCAGATGGTCCGCGACAGTCGCGTGCGGCTGATCGGTTACACGAAACCGTTCCTACTGCTCGTCTCCCCGTACTCCGATTGTCTCATTGTCGAGCAATTCTATAAAAATTTACCACACAAAGATATTCATTGCTGAAA